TGGTCGGGGTGGCCGAGGTGAGAAACTGGCGGTGCTGCTGCCTCGGCAGCACCTGTTGGTGCCGGAGCCTCGTGCTGGTGTGCGTGCTGGCCGCCCTGTGCTTCGCTTCCCTGGCCCTGGTCCGCCGCTACCTGCAGCACCTCCTGCTCTGGGTGGAGAGCCTCGACTCGCTGCTCGGGGTCCTGCTCTTCGTCGTGGGCTTCATCGTGGTCTCCTTCCCCTGCGGCTGGGGCTACATCGTGCTCAATGTGGCGGCCGGCTACCTGTACGGCTTCGTGCTAGGCATGGGGCTCATGGTGGTGGGCGTCCTCATCGGCACCTTCATCGCTCATGTGGTTTGCAAGCGGCTGCTCACCGCCTGGGTGGCCGCCAGGATCCAGAGCAGCGACAAGCTGAGCGCCGTTATCCGTGTCGTGGAGGGAGGAAGCGGCCTGAAGGTGGTGGCGCTGGCCCGGCTTACTCCCATACCCTTTGGGCTTCAGAATGCAGTGTTTTCGGTAAGTGGGGTCCCCTCTCGCCGGCCTCTCTCCCCAGATCTGTCTTTTAGCGACCTTGTGGCCACCGTGGGAGACCCTCCATCAGATAGATACCCAGCAGAGGAGTCATTGACATTTTTATGGTACCCTGAGAAATGTATCCTATAAATGCTTATAACGCAGCCCCTCGGAAGACCTGATAAAGAACTGTTTTTCTGGGTGCCTGTGTTTGTGTATGAGTTTGATAGAAAATGAAGTATCCTTTTCACTTGGGTCAGGGGAGGCGGGCAAAGGTAAGTGTCCCGTTGCCGTTGTGTGTCTGAAGCAGCTTTGGCAGCTCTTGGGCACTTGACCGCCCTACCTTACTCTCTGCCCTGCATAAAGACATCCAGGTTTTGATTGAAGTATCTGATTACATGGGGCTGAGGGCCGCTTTTAACAGTGCAGGAGACAGCAGTAGGCTCCAGTTTTTGGAGTTTCCTAGATTTGTTATTCTTAAAAGTAATTTGCTGTAATGCTATGTAAAAGCTAAGAGTTCTGTTTTGACATCAGTCGGGGAGCTAATAAAACAAAATGAGCATCTATTTTCTTACACCAGCTTAAGACTCCCTCTTGCCCTGTTTACATACCTTTGGCTTATTCTGCATAGGTCCCTCTAATAGCTAGTGCGCACCTGATTTCAGGCAGAAACACGCTGGTGGGGTCAGGACTACTAGATGGGAAACTTTATGGCTTTAGGACAAATTATTAAACCAATCTGACTTTGTTTTTTCTTAAGGCAGGGTGTAACTGTAGCCCAGACTATACTAGAGAACTCACTGTGTAGCTCAGACTGGCCTCAGACTGGCAGTGATTCTCCTGCCTCAGCCTCCTTAGTTGAGGAGAGCTGATTATCCAGCTTTGACTTCACTTTTACAGTAAAGGGACTAGATGACTCAGTTTCCTCTGTTTGGTGATTCTAAGCTGGGTTCACATGCGAGATTCCCATGTATTCAGCCCTCCAACTAAAAGAGAACCGCATGAAGTATTGAGATCCAACAGTAATTTGGCCTCAGCCTTTCAACTTTTACCTTTTCGCATTGTGAAGTGTGAACATAGATTTCCATCAATCTTAGAATACTGTATAGTTTCCTTCTGATAGTGTGCTGTGTCTCCAGCACAGCCTGCATCTCCCCTCATCCCCACAGAATGTGCTAACTGCCCTGCTAGGCTCTTTGAAGGTATCTGCCGTTCCTCAGCCAGTAGCAGCGACTATACAGGTCTGAAAGTTGTTGCCTACAGCCAATGAGAGCCCTGGGCTGTCTAAGTGTCTGCTGACCTTGGCTAAGTTGTCCGTTCTTTCTGTACCTTGGTTTGTGTGTAAATGAGGGAAGTATTGGACCGTGTTTGATAGAATACCAGGATTACATAAGATACATATATGCAGCAGAGCCTGGCTTGTCTGCTGTGTGCTCTTTCTGCTGTTACTTCCTATGGTCACCTGAAAGTAAGCGGTGGAGCCAGACTTTGAACTCTGACCTAGAAAGAGCCTCAACCAATGACCCTCCCTGTTTCTCATGAAATATTTTTCAATTTTTCAATAAATTCATACACATTGAGAAAGATATTTATTGATTTACAGTGTTACTTTTTTCTGTTACAGTGTTAAATTTGTAAGACATACTTTACTACTGGAAATAGTTTAAGATTATTCAGTATGAGTTTTGGCATTACTGGATCAGGAGAAAAAGAAGACTTTGCTATTGAAGAGGGCATTGTTACCACAGAAAGAAAGGAAGGAAGCTGCTCTTACCCTGAAACTTGTAGAGTCACCTGCCAGAGGCAGGGCTTCGGCTCAAACACGCCACCGGCTGTGGTAGTGTGTGTTGCCATAAAATTCTCACAATCACACAGGACGGCATAGGAAGCCACTCGACAAGGTCTGGTCATTGGCATCATCTACGCTGGTTTATGACAAGGAGGCCTTTTGTTGTGTTTACTCAGGAGTACGAAGGGTAGGGTAATGTTGCCTTTAACCTATTTTCCCCTTTGCCTTCTAGAACTTCATTCTCGGCTTCATGCCCATCCTACCTACCCAGATATACTTCTTTTGTCTTCTACTCTTCTCCTTATTGAACCTTTGAAAGCACCCCATTCCTCCCCCAAGTTGAAGCTGTTTTCTCATTTACCCAATGACCATGGATAAAATACTTAGCTCAGAGAGGAAGTTAGGTACAAAGGCCATGCAAAGCACAGGTTTTGAAAATATCTTTGCTTGGTTCCTGCTGTGTGAAGTCCTTGCTTCCTCAAACACGCTGTGGAGTCATATGTGTCTATTAGGTACCGAGCTGAAGGCATTATTTACCTGACCTAACTGTTGTTGGTCAAGGTAGTTACATTTTAGAGGAAGAAGCCAGTCATAAAAGTTGAGTGTGGGAGTATGCGGAAGACGGAAAAGGGCTCTCTTTGCTTCTAGTTCTTAACCAAATTCTTTAATTATCCTAGTGTGCTAGAAAGAGATTAGCAAGCTGACGCACAACATTTGAAAGTTTCAAACTAGAAATAGCACTTTATAGATTTGGTTCTTAAGGTATAAGAAATATAATTCTCCAAGTCTGTATTTACATTTTTCTGTTCCATCATTTCTTCTTGGAAACCGTGAAGAGTCTCCCTCCTCACAGCCTCTTTGGTGGAATCTTGTATAGGCAGGTCTTGCTGCCCATCGCTGTGGATCTCTGACCTTAGAGTTTGCGTGTTGCTAAGTACGGTTCCTGCCCAGACACACACCTGAGATAACTGTACCCTCTTCTTACTGGATAGTTGATGGTAGGCTAAGCTAGGCCGCAGTGACAACCTCTATTTCTCTGTAGGCTAAAAGCAAAGGTTCACATATTCTGCTTTATGCAGGTATAGGTCGAACTTTGTTTTGGGGAGGGACCCACAGCCCTCAGAGTTCTGACTCTGAGGTTTGATCTGGCAGAGCTATTGCCTTGCTCTTGGTGCTGTGAACACAAAACTGTGTTGTGTACTTTCAAGCATCCCTAGTAGTGATTTCACTTTTTTCCGGCCTCAGCAAGTCGCCTGCTCTGTTGCGTGAGTCCTCATACCCAGCTCTGACTGTACTTTTAAAGGGACTGGATGGCTGCTTCCCACGTTTAATGATTCTAAGCTAGAATTCACACTGAGATTTCCAGGTACTCAGCCCTTCGACTCTTAACATTTCACAGTGTGAACTGTGAGCATGAATTCTGACCAGCCTTGGGATAACTGTATCAGGACTTTGAAAAATGACTAGATCCAAATACAAGTTACATTGCCTTGCACATGGTTGCTGAGAATAGTGAATTAATTCTGGACGGTGAAGTCTCTTGCAGTGGCTCTCCCTTTTTGCTGGCCTAAATAAGTTGTGTGGTCATGACTCACCTCACAGGAGTGGTGGACATGGTGGCAGGAGAGAGGTGGAGCACCTAGTGGCTCTCAGTGCCTCGGGTACTGGGCACACCTTCCCCACCCCAGGCATTGTTGTCCCTGTCCTATTGCCTCCTGACACTTCAGCCACCCCATTGCCTCTGCTCTGTCCAGGAACCTCTACCTCAGACCAGTTGTCCCTGCCTTTGCTTCAGGCTTACACTCTCCTGTCTTTACCTAAAAAATCACTGCAGCCCAAATGTGATCTGGTCAGCACCATCTCTGCATTCCTCAGGAAGTTCTCCGCTCCCCCCACCCTGGGATGACTTCTACCTCTCTTATCACCTATAGTTAGTGGCTGTACGCCTTTTGATGTCTTCATTTAGTTAATCCCCGGCACCCTTAGAAGCAGACACTATTTAAATTTAGCAAATGAAATCCCTCCTCTCCTAAAAACTGCAGGTCTCACTTTTCTCCGTCTAGTTAAAAGGGACTCAGATCAATAAAGAGGGATTGTTCCTAGTAGGTATAGGAACAAAATTCTTATAGAGTGAAATCAGAAGGGCTCTGAGAAATCTTCAGACTGCCTCCCCTTCACCTAATAAACATAGAGCTGTCCTTGTAATGTCTACTCTGTGAGACCTCTCCCCTTGGAGACTTGCAGTTTAAAGTTACTTCCAGTAAAATGGTGTTCTTGATCCCAGAAGACTCCATGATTGTGGGTTGTATGAATAATTAAATTCATAATAATATTTCCACACCAAGTGGCTCTGTAAAACTGTGCACGGGGAGTTCCTAAACATCTTTTCTGCTTTGGTCAAAGAAAAAAATCATACAATGTCAAAAACTATAGATTCTGTCTTTCAAACAAGTGTACATGGGAAATTTATTTTCACTGACCTTAAATATAAGAAATATCGACAGTAGCGTACACAGCTGTCTTCCTCACGCACTGTGCCACTTCCACGCACAGAGCAGAGTTACACGCGTGGTGTCCTTTAGCTTTCCATCACAGCAGTGGTCTGAGACACTGGTCTTAGGAGGTGGTGGTTCCGGGAGGACAAGTGTCACAGTCTTGAACCAGACTTGGCCCCAGCGTCTGCTTAATCATCCGGGGAAGTTGTAGTTACTCTTTCACGATATACTTTGTATTGTAAGTCATGTTTAATAATATCTACTACAAAGCTGTAATATGTTTGCTCATTATTTACTATTTCTTTCTGCTCTCTACAGCCCCAAAACAGGACACGAAGCTTATTTGTAAACGTTTAACTCTGTCTCCACTGTCTGTATGGAACACTGGGCACCAGTCTCTCAAGTACACGTTACTTATTCAATACTCACACCTACCTTCATTTTAGAGTTGAAACAGTTGAAGCATAGAGTGATAAAATAACTTGCCCTTAGCTAGTGCCTCTTACAGTTTCGTGCGAGAAGGACTGGCTTTCTCAGAGTTGCTGTCCTTAGGAGCCCTGGGTGTCAAGCATATTGGACCTCCTGATGTCAGATGCTGTACAGGGTTCTGCAGAACTGAGTAAGTTGTCAGAAAACTGTACCACAGGGTATGTGATGCATACGATTTCGTGCACGTGAGCATTCTGTGAGACTCAGATTCGGGCATCTGTACATCATGT